AATTTCAATAATATAAGAATCATCCTAATGCTTATTTTTTCCCAATGGTCATTTAAAAGTGCCTCACACACCCATTTAAGTTCAATTAGCTTCAGATTCCTTACTGTGCATTAATCCCATCACCTTCCCCAGGACTGATGGTTTGAAGATAAACTCTTTTGTTAAACTTTGCATAAGACCTTTAAGTGCATTTACATCTTGCTTCAGCTGATATACCTTCCTTCAGCAAATTAACTATTCAAATTTTGGAAGCACTGAACTGAACCCAAGCAAAAGCTAATTCATCCATGCAAGCATCTCTACAATATTGCCTTTATTATTTCTTCATTTGTATTGATTGATTAATTATGTCCCTTCAAGTCATTTTCCATTCCTAGTGACTACATAGATTCTTTCCATGATCATAACTTTATTCCATTGTCACGTGCTTAGAGTCTGACAGAGATACAGGTTAGGAAAATGAATTGAATTTTGGAATGTAGCCAACTTTGATTCTTCCTGAAATGTCATACCTGTATTCAACCAGATATCAAATTATGCATTTATAATATTAAAACATAAATATAATTAGACGCATGGACATACACACAAAGCATCAGCTTGCAAAATTCTGCACTTTCGCATCTACAGTACTTTAGTAAAAATAAAACCTTTTTGCAAGTAAATTCAAGTCAGAACTTTTTTACTCCACACATACCCATTTTAGTTTTAGAAACAGAATCTGGTTGCTGCGCCTCTCTATAATTAACCCTGTACGTTCCCATCAGCCATGCCAATGTAAATTTCACAGTTTCAAAAGACAAAAAACAGTTTGAAAGTATTGTCACTTGCCTTGACTTTCAGTTCTTTGCAGCCATGCCAATGTAAATTTCACAGTTTCAAAAGACAAAAAACAGTTTGAAAGTATTGTCACTTGCCTTGACTTTCAGTTCTTTGCAGCCATGCCAATGTAAATTTCACAGTTTCAAAAGACAAAAAACAGTTTGAAAGTATTGTCACTTGCCTTGACTTTCAGTTCTTTGGATATTGCTGCATTCTCTTTATCCATTCATGATCAGCAAATGGCAGCTGAACTCTGAGGTTAATCCAGGTGTGTTCCTGTAAGTTTCTGAAAAGGAAGAATCCTTGGACGTATCCCTTTCTCTGGCCATCAGCGGTGTTCAATATTTATTCTAGATAGCAGCTGAGCCTCCACCAGGGCACATGGTTACCATTATGAAGCATTAGGATAAGGGTATTGGATTTTTAAACTGAGCCAAATAGCACAACAGCTCTGAAACAACATAAACATCCATCTTAATCCAATGAGGACTTTTAGGAGAAGACTTGGTTTCCTTACCTACCCAAAATATCAGTTCAAAAAGACAAAGAATCCTCTTTCCATTCACTACAGGCTGATGAGTCAGCAGTCTTGAGCACAACCTATTGTCCCCCAGGGGTCCTTGGTAAACAAATCAGTGAGGAGGATGTCATCTTCAAAGGAAGAACTCTCCTTCCATGCTAAGATTCTCCAAAAGAATAATCCTAGGATCAGACTCTAGCTTTCTGAAAGAGGCTTCTGATCAGACTTCTGGGATTCCCTTAGCAGCTTGGTTCTCTGGACACACCAAGCCAAAATGTGATTTGCTAATTTCTCTCTCAGTATGTGGTGAGGACCCAGCCATATGGCTTATTCAATAAATAATGTGGCTTTGAGGATTGTTGTAAACAGAGTTTTAACCAAAACTCCCAAGATCCCAACAAAGGATATGTATGGTTAGAGTTAAGGAACAAGTTTGTCCCTGGACTCATGTCCTGTGAAACTCTGGCTTGTTAACTATATTGTATAAACTACAACCACTTAATCCATATTTACAAATCACATGTGATATGTGAACCCAGCCTGCCTGTAGAGCAAATGCTTAGCTTAGAAATATGTTTGTTTCGGTAACAAAACTGAGTCACAGAAAAAGCTCCTAAGCCCTGGATTTTATTTTATCTTTCTTCTTTTCTGACTGAAGTTCGAGAGACTTTGTTATTGGTATGTAACTGGGAATCAGAAATCCTTGGTAATGTACTAGAAATCACTCAAAAAGTTCTACCAGATCTCAGTTTACATCAGTGTTTCTCAACCTTGGCAACTTTAAGATATGTAGACTTCAACTCCTAGAATTCCCCAGCCAGCATGGCTAGCTGGGGAATTCTACGAGTTGAAGTCCACATATCTTAAAGTTGCTAAAGTTGAGAAACACTTATTTACATTATGCCTGCCCCATTTCTTTATCTTTCACAGCTGCATATCAGTCAGAAATTCAACAGGTATACTGTTACACCTCTGGAGAGGGAGGGGGAAATGGCAGTTGTTGGATTTCTGCTTGCCATTCTGCTATAAAAGGCACAGGAACTGAGCAAAGGAATAGTTAGCAAACTTCTATTGATTTCCCAACTGCCCTGGAATTCCCACGAAACTACCTACCTATTTCTGTTTGTCATATGCTGGGTAAAGTTCCAGGGACACAGCAAGCTAAAAACTAGCTAACTGCACTTTAGCTTAATACATCATTTAAGGCCAACCATGTAGTTAGCTCATGTTTTAGTTTGCTGAGCTGGTGAAAGAAGGGTGGCAATTGTATTCAATCCTAGTCAGTTCCTGACTCTTCCACTAAGCCAGGCTTTCAGTATTTGATAAACCTGGTTAGCCCTCTAGGCAGGGTGCATATACACTGTACCTTACAAGCATCCTTTCCAGCACTCTATTCTTAATGTTTCTTAATGTAATAAATTAAATATCCCCTGATTTTCTTTCAAAGGAGGTTTCTGTCCACCCACATCCATTTTGTTAATAATTTAATGTTCTTTCCCCTTCTTTTAAGGGGGAGGATGGACATGGTAGAACATAAAGACTATATAAAACCAAGTTTAATTTTTCAACAGGTAAGCTATGCTGGATTGTCCTGCTAGACAAGAACTTATATTACACCTGTATTCTAGATCATTATCTAGCATAGCTTTCTCCATGTTGGCCAGTTGCAGTCCTAGGACATCTGGGGGCACCAGGTCAGGGACAACTGATCTATCATAATCTTAGCAGACAATTACTGCAATTCGATTCTTCATGGAAAATCCAAGAAACTGCATTCATGTATTATACAAGAACATTAGTCCATTAAAGTCAATGGAGTTTACTTTTGAGTGCATGTACATAGGATCCCATTGTTGCAATTCTTTGGACTCCTTCCTAAGAACAAGCTTGATGAATTCAGGACAGCTTACTTCTAAGTAAATATGTTTTTGCTACCCAGAAGATACTATTGAAAAAGCAATAGTTGTACAATAACAATGGTCTCCCACATTTTCCACAAAGGTGATACAGAGACCACAGTGAATAACACTGCCTAGCAGTTACAATTTCTTGGGTTCACATATTGCGTTGAGTTGGTTTTAACTATGGGATTTGAAGAAACCATAATGGCAGGGTTTGGACATCACGCTAAGTCAACTCAGTCTCAAACCACACAGAAGCTTAATATGAAGTGCAAAACTATCTAATCTGTACTTTCAGTCTAAATACAGGCTTCTTTTTTCAAAAACCATTTTTCCCTTATAGTCCTCCCTTGTTGTGAGGAGTATAGAAACAAACAAGAAGTGTTTTATAGAGATATTACTTGGCATAATGATTATTACCTGCATGCAAAGCATGCTCAATATATTTTTTGCTCCCTGGGACAAAGGACAAAATATGACCCTGGTCATCCTATATGTAGATATTGAATTCTGACTTCACTCATGGCAGTGAGTAACATATTGCACTGCATCTGGAGGTAGTAGTCTTAAGCAATGCACACAGTGCCAAACAGTATGCGCTTCTCAGTCTCTCCCTGTCTCTCAACATCTCACTCTGCTTAATAGAAGAGTTGGCCTAAGCTCCATGAAAGACCACAGCAATCTTAAGATGATCTCTGTGTAGGTACTTCACTGTTGATTGGGCTACTTTTGGCTTCTGCTCATTGTAGCAGTTGGTTGTGGATCAGGGAAAGATGAAGAATATTTCTTAGAACATGGTAGACTTACATGTTGAACTTAAGGATGACAGGACAATTCAGAGAATCCCTGGAGTTGATAGGACTAATCTCAACCACCTCACGTATGCAGTCAATGCCATTGACTATTTCTTTAAAGGTGGAATCATATGAGCACTTGCCCAAGAGAAAGTTCTATTAAACTTGGTTTGATTGGTTTTTAAATTTCTAAACATAAGACAGGACTGGCTGGTTAGTCCTGCTAATTTAAACAAGACCTACTTCGAAATAAAAAAAAATTCAGAACATTATAAAATTATCTACTCTTTTTACCTTTAAGAGGCATAAAGCATTTAGTCCAAAGGTATGTAGTCTTTTTGAGAATAAGGGCCACATATGATAGCTTTTAAATGGAGAGCTAGAGGTCATACTTCTCAGAAATGTGTGAGTCAGGACAAAACTAAAATGTATTTTAATGTAAGTTAAAATATATTTTATTTCTATATAATTTTAATTCAAATGACATACTAATTATTCTTACTTAATTTAATAATGTTCTCCTTTCATAATTTTTAAACTTAGGTGGCAACTTTTGGATGGTTTCTGGGGGTCACACTAATGCTTTGTGGGATATAAGTGGGTTCCTGGAAAATTGGAGACTCCTTAAACTGGATTTAAACTTTTTAATAAAGGTACCAATAAAGACCCAAAAGAAGCCTTGCTGAGGAAAATGTTTGTATGTTAGTTTCCACAATAATCAATATCTATTATGTAATGAAGGAAACAAACACACACATTTAGTTTCATTGTTGGTCAAATCTCAAAATCTTTGGTCAGATTGTCAAAAAGCAACTGTACAGCAACATCTCTTATTAATTGGAAACCAGCAAGGATAATTGTAGGACTTCTGCAATATCCCAAAAGTTGTACCTTTTTTTTTAATAAAAAGAATTGACTTATTCAAGCCAGACATTTCAATAGAAGAAGGAAAAAGAAAGGAAGCAGATTTGGAAAAGTGATTTATTTTTGTGTTCTTTCTGTTCAATCTTTTCAGGCAACCTCCACAAAAAATACAATGTTAGGTCAGAGTCCAAGGTGGGATTTATGTGAGAGAGAATTTCAGCTTTGGTGGACCAATCATCTTGTTTCTTATCAATGCATTAGCTGATATATTATGTGTCTGGGTCAAGAGGAATGGAGACATTTGAAAGAATCTTTGTATGAGTGTCAAATGTGTTTTACCAGTCCTCAGATATCCTTTGTGAAGAAAATATCTTGACTACAAAATGGGGTGTGACTTCTCAAGAGGCAGTGAGACAATCCCAAAGCCAACCTGGTATCCAGTGATCTTTTCAGGGGTTCAATATAAGTAGTGAAGGTGAAGGCCAAAGGTTTGATGCAGGATCTGGGAGATCTGAATTCCATTCTCACATCTGCAGAGTGATAGGATAGTCCTGGGTGTATATATGTCTCAATGTCTTGGCTTTAAAATGAGAATAACCATAGCCTTACCTCACTGGGTTGTGATGGCAGTGAAAAAGTTGAATATGAATCACATTACAAGTGCAAGTGCTGTATATGTGAACTGGTAACAGTTGTCTATTTTTAAAAGGCCACCAATTCTAGGTTCAGATCTAATGCTAGTGGTTGTATGAAACAATATCAGATGCATTCACAGTGCTTCTTTTCATTCCCCCATCAAATCTGTTTATAAAGGGGATATTGCAAATATTTTAATCCATGGGACCTACCAAATCATCAGGTGGCTTAATAATGAATCAGTATTGATCCACGTGAACATACACAGATATGCAAACCTCATTCTTCATTACGAATAGAAATAGGTCTCTGAAATATTTCAGAGTGTACCCCATTCTACTACTTGACCCAGGGCATCAGGAAATCTCAAAGAGGAACAAGAGGACTAGGACAAACAAGGATAACTGGAAATTGGAATCTCTCTTAGTTTTAATCATCTTTGTCTTTGGCTCCATGCTTCAGGATACGGGTGAATTCCACATAGTTGAAGTTGCCTTTCTTGTCAATTGGAGCTTCTCGATACATCTCATCTACTTCCTCATCTGTAAAACGATCACCCATGGTGGTAAGCAGTTCACGCAAGTGGTCTTCATGAATGAAACCTGCATTAGAGATGAATGGAAGAGAAGAAGGGAAAGAAGGACCCAGGGGTGTCCATTAGAAGAGGGCTGCCTTCTAAGCTGCCCTCCATAAGATATGGTAAGGTGGTCAACAGGGGTGGCAGAGGTTTTATGTGATTAAAAATTTTGCATCAGCTTCTGTTTCACGTTCCACTCAGTGAATTTCTGAAATCAAATGTGTCCTTCCTAGATCACTGCTATTTGAAAAAAGGATTCCCATTATTTAGTTTGAACAGTCTTTTCACCAAGTGCTGTTTCTCTTAGGGGTGTGAAACTTTTACCAGAATGGGGACTACCCTTCATATTATGCCACAGATGACACTACCTAAAATGGTTGAGACTAAGTTTTAAAAAAAAGCCTGTGACTTAATTAAAATATATGATTCAGTACGAGTATGAATGCTTCCCATGCATTCAATCATTTCCTCCTCCTGTCACATGAAAATTGTAATTTGGAAGAAACATTTGAGGCTGCGCACAAGACATTTATGGGAGTGAAGAGGTTGCATGCAGTCTGGGCTTGCAATGTGCACCTTTCATTTATCTCAGCACAAAGATCTCTTAGGGCAAGACTAATTTAATCTAGTCTTGTCTAGTCTAATTTAATCTAATGGAGCAAAAAAAGATTTGCTTTGGGTATCTCAAAGAAACTCCACAAAAAGATAGGCCCAAATACAGTAGGGGGTTCACAATACACCCAGATGAACGTATACTGCTGGATCTATCTATTGCTACAAGCTCTCAGAGATGGCTTAGCAGAAAGCCCCCAACTGTAGTACAGAAACAGTCTCCTCTGATCATACCTGTGGCCTCCTCGTCAAAGCAGGCAAAAGCATTCCGAATGACATCTTCTGGGTCTGTGCCATTCAACTTCTCCCCAAACATAGTAAGGAACATGGTGAAGTTGATGGGTCCAGGTGCTTCACTCATCATCCCTTCCAAGTACTCATCTGTGGGATTTTTCCCTGAAAGATGCAGTCAGCCAAGAAATTAGGCCTTGATTTAGTGCCCTGGTCCAACTGAATTCTTCTGTGAAAGCTTACTCTGGAGTCTTCTCCAGCTCCAACAGGAGAAGATTAAAGGTTGGGGTATTAGAACTGGAGTTACTCAGCACACCAGGAATGATGTGGCTGGAGCAAATCTGACAGCAGGAATTTTAAAACCTGTAGTTAACCCTGACTTTCATGTTCAAACCAAGATATTTTATTAGCTGGGGAGAAGGACAACATGATCCTCCCTGCCCAGATTGTCTACAGAAGCAATTGAACTGACCACTGAATTTTATTTCAATGTTAAGGATGGGATAAAATTCCTATTTGAGGCAGCAGGCCATTGAAACCAGGATCAGTAAGCTGAGTTCACATAGTAGTCTACACCATTATGTGATTTGTCCAGTGTGAATACAACCAATTGTGCTTTATTCCATGATTGAACAAATGATGTGTGAACATATTAAACAGGGATGCATGTACCACCATCTGTCCAGTGTGGCTTCCTAACCTGCATCAGTGATTTACCAGAGGCTTAGCGGGTTATCCAGACTCTAATAGGCTGCCATATCTGGTTAATGCTAATCAGTATTTAAAACAAACTACTCAACTTGACTTCAAATTATAAATAGCATTAACTGGGAATGACAGACACTCCAGGATTGGGAGCCATACTAAATTCTGAAATAAATCGCCAACACTAGCTTGTTTGCCATATAGAATGGGTCTAGTTTAGTAGAGAGAGTCAGTTTGGTGTAGTAATTAAGGCATCAGGCCAGAAACCAGGAGACCATGAGTTCTAGTCCCGCCTTAGGCACGAAGCCAGCTAGGTGACTTTGGACCAGTCACTTTTCTCAGCCCTAGGAAGGAGGCAATGGCAAACCAATTCCAAAATCTCACCAAGAAAACTGCAGGGACTAGTCTAGGCAGTTGCCAGGAGTCAACACTGACTCGAAGGCACCAAAAAAAAAAAAAAAGCATAGTAGAATGCACATCCTTAACAAGGCTTAACAATTCAGTTGAACATATTCATTGTGTCACAGGCAGTGTTTCTCTTCCCTAATGGAAGGGAATAGCTAAAGGAAGAATCAGAGGTCACGATAAATTCCCTCCCCACAATATCTTCTAATGCAGATGCCTGTCTCATTCCACCGAATGGTAGAACCAGCCCTGCTTCGTGTAAGTGCAAACGAAACACATCATGCAACTAAATATAAGTTTGATTAGTTAATGCTCTCAACCTTCTATAATAATTTAAAAAAAAAAGGTAGGGAAACCCCTCCATTATGGTCATGTGACCAGGAGGGAGGAAGAAATGCTGAACTGCCTCCCCCCTAGCAATGAACTGGATAAATTTTTCTGAATTTTTTTGATCTCCACAGCCCCTGGCTGGATCTGGCCCATTTTCAAACCCAGTCTTTCTTTTGCTTGCTCCCCACTTCCCTGCATCAAATTTGGTCCCACTTTGTTAGGAGAGTTATCCTGGGGATGCACAGATGGACAGAGAGTCCAAGCCTTTTATATATTGCTTTCCAACATTCTGTTGGGTTAGAAGGAATACAAAGAGTTGCTACATAATTTTTTAGGGATATTCTGAAGAATAAAACCAGATCTTTGGTGAGGCAGTCAGACACCTTCAATGGCTGCTATAAAATTTAATATTTAGTTGTGAGAAGGGAAAATTATTAAAGAGAATAATATGTTTAATTTTAGTTACATTTAAATGTAAATGAAATGAATACCAATTGTGGTTTTATCCTTTTTCTCTACCTTTTGGCCTTTGTTCCCCCAGCATATGATTCAAAGGCCAGGAAATCCTTGTGCATCCTGGCTTAGCATGTTGCATGAAACTAGCCAGTTGTGGTTTATCCACAATTTAAAGAGCTATGGTTTAGTACAAATGAATCAGCATTCAGGGTGGATTTGGACTATCAGCAAAATCTTAAGCATTACTTAGATGTAAGTGTGATAGATCTCAGTAAGATCTTACCCTCAGTTAAGTGAATAGAGGATTCCTAGAAGCTAGCCACTACTGAACTCAATGGAACAAATTAGCCATGATTTAATGGCTGTGTTCACATAGCATGGTAAGTCAGTTAAGGAACATGCTCTGCCATCTTACCCATGCTCCCCAATTGTGCATATTTCTTTTATCAAACTTTTAGATTTATTGTGTCATCCAGCTCCAGAGTGGGGTCCATTTGGGTATACGGAAACAGAAATCTGTACCAGAGGGACCTGTGGGGGAAGGTTTAAAAAATCAAAATGGCAGATATGACCAAAGGCCCACCCCATCTGCATGCAACACAGATGAAAATGCATGAAGCTTTGATTGTACAGTCACAACTGCCATCTTGACTTTTTTGACCTGACCTCCAGCAGAAGCCCCTGGTTTGTACTTACGTATGTCTGCTCAAAAATATGTTTCACTAAGGACTTATTCTCAGTAAGTTTGAGCAGAATTGGAGCCTAAAATTGAATCCGATTATTTTATTTATTTATTTATTTATTTATTTATTTATCTATCCTATTTGTATAGCCGTCCATCTCATACAAGGTGACTCTGGGCAGCGTACAGCAATTAAAAAATAAATACATAAAAACAATTACACATAAAAAACTGTAAAAACACCAAAAAAAACCCCTATTTTGATTGCACAACATAATTCCTCATAAATTATATAATGAAAAATGAACAACAACAAAAAGTTGTATAGTGTGATGGCTATACAGGTGGCCTGGTGGTATCCTAGCAGTGTTAGCTCCAACCTACAGGGATCAGCAACAGAGATCTGAATTTACAAAATGTGGTCTTATTAATTAGAGCAATAAAATGTCCCTATGAACATGTCTTCCCCAAAAAAAGGGACTAGTCCCTTTACTCCCCGTTTCTAAGGAGCTTCCCCATAAAACCAGATCTGTGCTGGGGGAGGGGTTTGGGAGACAGACTCATCAAAACACAAGGAAACTGATGCAGAATGACAGTTGAAACAGGGAAAAATATACTGGGGAAGAAATACTGCCCAGTGAGTGTAAATGGAGAGGAAATCCAGTTTGCTACTATGAGCATGCACTCAGGCCTCCAGGATCCCAATTTCTCCTTCAAATTTGATTCATCAAGAGACCAAATTATCTTTTTACTGTACCTTCACTGTGGTACAGCTGACAGCCCTCTAGTGGCCATCTGTAGAGGTGCAACACTTTAAGAATGTTCTTGGTACTCTGAAGAATAGCATTTTAATGCCCTCCTGATTCCTTCCTGATTATTCAAATGTACGCTCCTCAAAGCCATTGTTTTCTTACCTTATTTTTTAAGTTTTCCAGCTGATCCAAGGTGAATTTTCTAGCACCTTGGGAACAGTTCAACAAATCTGGATTCCAACAAAACAGTAAACTAAAATGTAGTTGGCAAACTGTGCCTCAAGAGTTGTTGAGCGAACTTAGCCAGTGTGCTTTCTGGTTCAGTGTGTTGTGTGAACTCAGGCAATTGAACTGATTCAGTAAACCATAGTTCAGCTAACCTTTGGTAGTGCGTTGTCTGAACACTGCCAAAATGTCTAGAATGTAAACTGTATGATTTGGATTTCACATCAGCCACAGTTTTGAGTCTCAAGCTGAACCAATCCTTGTAGACAATTACACAAGAACTGTCTATAAGAAAAAGCTATATGGTGAAGAATAGACAATATAACAATGCAGGTAAGTAGAGCCTCCATTATTAGGGGTAGTATTTCTTAATAATAGGACACTCAGGAATTTCTCTTTGCAGAATGCTTTGAAGAAGCATTTACAGTAGCTGGCTACTGTAAGAAAGAAGCTGAACTAAATTATAATTTGGTCTGGTCCAGCAAGGCAATTCATATGTTTTTATGTTATGTGAAAATAGGTAACATACAGTGAGAAAGGTTACTATTTAGTTCTTGACTCAACCACTTCAAAAGCTTCACAAATAATCAACTCCAAAACATCAACATTTGGCACTGGATTCAGAAGAAAGGCTCAGACCAGGTTTTACATCACAACCACCCTAATTTGTCTGGTGTGATTTTGCTGTAGCTTGTTATGTAAGTGCAGATACTGTAATTTGTAAACTTTAGTTTATGGCTTAGAATGCTGTGTTAAATACACCTTAGTGTAATGTGTAAATCCAACACATGAGTAAATAGTTCATGACTGGCACTTAAGAAACAATGGGTGACGCACAGTTGGACACTGAAATATCTGTGGTGGGGAAATCAGACATATTTCAGAAGTCTGAAACACTTGCAGCGCCTGAACCAGGGTTTTTTCAAACTTGGCCGCTTTAAGATGTGTGGACTTCAACTCCCAGAATTCCCCAGCCACAAAAGCTTACTCAGGTATATGAGGTATACTGCTCAATGCAGTGCCCTCCAAAAGAACTGACTTTGTTCCCCATCATCTTCAATAGCGTGCCATTGGCCAGAACGATGGCTGTTGCATCTAGTAGATCTGGAGGACACCAGATTGGGAGCAAGCTGTGGAAGACAGCAGTCGGAGGAACACACTGTGACTACCACAGCATGTCCTTATCTTTGGCAGGCCCCCTCACACGACCACAGAGGGTATCAAAAAAGTCAAGATTAAGGCTGCAGCCGTGTGACCAAAGCCCTGCCCCTTTTTAACATGCATTGCACTTGCAGTGCATATCAAAGGAGGTGAACCTTTGACTACACAGTTGACTTTTTGACTCCCCTGCAGGAGCCCCTGGATCCATCATCATTTTAGTACCGTATGGTGGAGGAGAAGGCAGGGGAAGGGAGACTATTCTTGCTAGAACATTTAGTCCCCCAAAGGGATTAGGGCTACCAGATTTGGGGTGCCAAAATATGCACAAACATTAAATGGGAGTATAGAATTAAGAGTTTTAGGGTAACTCTTTGCTATCTTCTACTGGTCATCTCTATATTTTTGCAGCTCTGCTTGCCCTACTTAGGTATAACTGTGGCTAAATATATGGCTTCGTTAATTTATCATTTAAAAAAGGATGATGAGATGTCTTGATTGGCCTGCCTGATCATGTATATAATGTATATAATGTACTTATAAATGCTATTTGAATGAAAAAAAAAGATATCAAATGTTTAAGACTTCTTAACTATGTGATAACTTTTAATATTAGATTTGTGGGGCAATCCTATGCGGCTCTTCATATGAGAGGCAAGCAACTCTTTGGCCCTGAAGGATTGGATTTTTCTTAGTTCAGCACCTAAGGTCACAACAAATAGGACAGTGACTCACTGGAAGGGGTGATGCCCCATTTTGTACCCTCTGTGTGGGTGTTGTATTATGTGTTGAATTTTCTAGCTGTGTTATAGACCCATCCCATGGTATCCCACTTTCAAGGAGGCAGATGAGGAAGAAAACTGTTTTACCAAGTTAATGGTAGAACATCCAACTGTGAGTCTAGGAAGCCTCGCATTGGACACTGTCACTTAGAGAAAGGCATTCATAAACTCTGAGCTCAGTTCCTTCAGCCTTCCAGCCTGGACAAGCATAGCATTTAGAAGACAATAATAAGAAAAGTTGGCAGGGCAAATGTGGCACAGTAATTAAAGTGTTACACTAGACCTGAGGAGACCAGATTTAAGTATTCACTCAGCCATGAAGCTCACCGGGCAACCAGGGGACATACTGTATATTATAGCTTAGCTTTGACTTTCTTTTGAAGTAACGAAAAGAAGTATATAATTAATTATGCTTCTCATAAATTATCTTAGTTAACTCTACATACTGCAACTTTATTGGGTACGTCTGTGCTATTACCCCACGTAACTTCTTTTACAAAAAGGCATAGCATTTTGGACAATTAAATTTGCCCATATGAAATCTCTCTGTGCAACCAAGTCTGGGAAAACGCACTGCAGAAGAAAGATGAGGGCCCTCAAAAAGTAATGTCTCCTTCAAGTTAAGCACAACTTGATACATCCATGCAGTTTTCTTGGTAGAGTTTCAAAACCTTCTTCTGGGATGTTTTTCTAAACTTACAGTCTAGCTTACAGCCCTGGTCTTCCCTAGTGCTCTCCCATCCAAATACTAACCAGACCTAATCCTTTTTAGGTTTTGTGCCTAGCTGAGATTGGCCCTATCTTTTGCTTACTGTGTTGTTTTTCTACTAGCATGGAATTCTTAATGTAAGGGAGCATTAAAAATATTACTTCCTCTGCTTTGAATCCTTTAACACCTCATTCAGCTGTATATTCAAATGAGATCTCAGAGATCATGTATTGCTAAGAATATCTCTGCAGTTCAAGGTTAAGACTAGATTGAAATTAAAGAAATCCTGATACTTTTGTAGTCTTCCAGATGTTTCTGAATTACAATTCCTATCAACCCTCTCATTGACCATATAAATTGGGACTGCTGGGAGATGTCATTGGAGAACATCTACAACGTCGCAGCCTTCTCTTAATTAAATAGCACTGGGTTAAACATATTTTCTTACCTAGAGATGCCAGCATGTCATGTAGATCCTCTTTGTCAATGAACCCATCACGATTTTGGTCTATCATATTGAAAGCCTCCTTGAACTCCTGGATCTGTGACTGGTCAAACATGGCAAAGACATTGGAGGTGGCACGCTGAGGGCGCTTCTTGGTGGTCTTTGCCTTGGCTCGTTTGCTGGACATCTTGATGGAGTTTTTCTTGGCCTGGAAAACAAAATAGAAATGTGCTTTTCAGAAAAGGAGTCTGAATAAAACCTGCAAATAACTTATTTCTGATTTCCTCCATCCTCTGGTTTTTCATGCTAGGAATCTCTTAAGACCTTTCTGAATCTCAGTATTCCGTAATGTAGGCAGCAGTCCTGTTCGTTCTTACATGGCATCACAGCTCCGTTGAATTAAATTGGACTTCTTCATAAACCTACAAAGATCTGTGCTGGTAGTGACATACGTTTGTCTAACTTTGGCTCTGTTCACACAATACACTGATATAGGTCAGTGAAAGACTTAGCAGCTTCATTTACATAGCACATGAAGCATAGTTAATTATTTTTTGTCAGTTATGTTGTGTTTTAGACATCATATAAATCCAGCCTGTTTCATTAGTGGTAAGTATATTCTATGAATCCAAAAACTGGATTAATTCAGTACTCAGGTTAAGTATGCTGTGTAAATGGAGTCTTTGAGAAAATAAGAATTTGGTTCAGTTTAAGTCCCCAAAAATTGTCAAATCATTATGTGATGGTGGAAAAATAAAGCTAATTTATTTACTGTGGGGGTTTTTTCCCCCGGAACCTTAATAACCTATGTATTTCTTAATCAAGGGCAGACTTCCTGACACACTCCAATTATTTTGCCCCTCATGTCCTGCATCCTATTGGTCCTGCTGAAGTTCAAACAGCTGGAAGGCATCAGGTTGCTACTATCTCTTTTAGATAAATATACATTTGCTCATGTTTCAGGAATATGTTAAAACTAAGCAGGAAAAACATTTTTTCTTGTACAGAATGTCTTGTCACAACTGAAAGATATATCTACTTATTATGTCATAAGCTAGCTTTCCCCAACCTAGTACCTTCCCAATATATTTATTGGCAAGACTCAAAATCTGATCAAAATGCAGGCTGGCATGGGTGTTATGAAGCCCACTAATTCAGATGCACCTAATGATATGGTTTCTAATTCATAAAAATTATGCCATAATGAATGTGTAGTTATTCTGTTCGATCCTAAATCTATGTTGCAGCAAAAATAGCAAATATTGTTACCCACCTGGAAATTTCTTCTACATAACATACTAATATTTAGCATTTAACATTTAACACCTAATACTGATATTTACTTTATTGTTAAACATAACATTTTGAATTTCCCAACTAAATTATTATCCCAAATGGCATTGTAGGTTTGGTAAATTTATCAGCTTTTCATATCATGACCACTGTTGAAAGCAGTAAAGTAATCTGTTTCTAAGCTTACAGTCTATTATAATCACATCCTGGTGAAATGAGGAAGTTTATGCCACCCCCGCTCCCTAATCCGCATACTCCGAAAGCGGGTTATATTACAGGTTCTAAACCCATTCTTCAGATGAGTGTTTTAGTACAAGAACAACTCACTGTGATTGGGTTAGATAGAGATGCTATTTTAATTTTAAGAGACTTTCCAATGCTCCGCCCGTTCTGGCTAGCTTCCTGTCTTTGCAGACAGATCTAAGATTGAGGGAGGTAAAACACTTAAGAAATCAACAGGTTTAAAACATGGAGTTCCAAGGGACGCTGTTTGCCTAGCATAGGTGCTCCATACAGAGACTGGAAGAAATCCGTTTGCTTTTTCCCCCATGCGAACCTTGCCTCCAGCTGAACTAATCTGAGGCTTCTTCTGATTCTCTAGCAGCTCTGCAAGCTCACAAGGAAGGCACAGTCGCTTGTAGCCCTGATCAGGAATAGGAGGAAATGAGTTATCTGTTCAGAGCAGATTCCAAGCATTCCAGTTGCCTCCCTCTCACACCCTTTGTCTAGCCTGGCATCTGGATATCTGTGCTCTTTCTCTGAACTACCCCTACAGCTTGTGAAGAAGGATTACAAGCACCCAGTTCATCAAGCAAAGGGGAAGCCTGTAGACAGGATTATGGGAGGGTGTCCCTATGTCCTCTTTTACAGAGGAGGAGCTGAAGAAAGCAGGCATCTTGAACCATTAGCACCTGGACTGCAAAACAACTAAGCATTCAGGCCATCTAGTCATAACTTTCTTCACTATGGAAGGAGGGACTGGATTTTGGCTGAATGAAGTCATTATTCCTAGGTTTGTGACACACCTTCTAAATTAATTCTGCTCTTTTTTTGCTCTTGTTTTAAGGACACCCAAACATTTCCCTCTAAATAAGAATAAATGAGCAAAAATGAAAAGAAAAGCAATTCCTTTAAATATTTCTTTAAAATATATTGAAAGATTGGATACAGAGGCATCCATGGAGTGGGTTCAGAAAAAGTCAGAATGGCCTGTGCAACCATGCAATCAAACTCCCACCCCTTTTTAATGTGTGTTGTGCACATCATGTTGACTTTCTCTAACCTCCCTTTGTGGACCCCCTTTATTGGATGAAAAAGCAGGCTCTGCCCTGTATGACAGCAGCATGAAAAGGATGCAAAAGAAAAGATGGAACAACAAACAAACACACAACAAACTAAACTGGGGGATGGTCAGAAAGAAACTCCAGTGATTCCAACCATCTTTCTTTAAGGAAGCCCACATCACATTTTTGAGGACCGGCTTATACTCTTACCTATCAATCCTGTAACCAATCAACATACAACAAACATTTCCAAGGAAACCCATTCATCTCTTTTTAGGGCCCCCTTGTTTCTCTATTTATTTGAGGTACCCTACCTGTTACCTCTGTGATTATTCATGCAATATTGTGGACTTTACTTAAATACAGTAAGTAGCATACAGAACCATAATTGTAAATGAGGCTTTTGGCAGTTCTGGTCTGTTAGGATAATTCTGTCCAGTCCAGGTGGGCACATGACCATATTTGCTGCTTCACGGGACAAAGGCTAAGAGATGCTAGAGGCTATTTACAGATTAAAGATCTAGCCTTCCTTGAGCTGAGCTTGATTCCTGATAACTCTGCAGACATATTCATGTTTGCAGAAGTGCTTTCTTATTGCCTTTTCTGAAATGTTTTTACTTCTCAGTCTTGTCAACAGCCATGGGATTTCTTGGTTGTCTCCTGTCCGAGTATAAACCAAGTCCAATTTCCTAAGCTTCTTTCCCCAAGATCAGCCAATGTGGGCTACGTGCTACCTTCTGTGGAGGACTTTTATAGCATATTAAAGATAATACAAATTACAATTCCTACCATCTGGAAATGGGAAGCCAAATGTATCTGACTTGATTTTTAAAACACTGTGGGTGCTTTCATTACCCATTAACCATGTTTCTTGCACTTAGAGACTGTAAAAGTATCTGCTTCCTTGCAAAGCGTACAACTCATGCTTGAAAAGACTTTCATCATGCTGTCCTTGTGCAGTGACATGCTAATATTTGTTTAAAACATATCAAAAAGCATCCTATGAAGATAAGTAGTTGGACAGTCTTCATTTTAGACAGGGCCCTCAAAAAAAAGGGAAGAGAGAAACAAAACACAAAGTTGCAAAGTTGCATTAATGGGCAGCTGGAACAGAATCCACTCTAGGAAGGAGAAGACAGAAACTGTGTGCTGTTTTTGCAGCCAGTGGCGTCCATAGAAGGGGGTCTAACTAGTTGGTCTGATGAAACAGCACTGCACATTGCGGCACAAGACCCATCGCTTTCTGCATGCATCACATCACGATGCATGCACAAAAAGGATGTGGGCTAGTGCCACAATGGTGCAATGTTGCTTTCATGATTCTGAATTGTGGAAGCCCATGCTTGCATCTGAGCCAATGATGCAGCTCTGCTTCTCTTCCACAGCCTGGTGGAATAGCTGTGGCAAGGGGTTATGGCACAGCAAATCCGTATCCCTTCTTATCAAGTGGCCTACACTCAATATGTATATGTTAACCCAAAAATAGGAGCACAGTTTAAAAGAGACTCTGACAAAATGAATCAGATGCAGAAAAGGACAATAAGGATGATGAAGGACTGGAAACTAAGTCTGATGAGGAAAGACAAATGGAAGACTCTTTGAGAAGATGAAAGGAGCAAATGATAACACACTTCAGGTACCCGGAGGGGGTCACACAGAAAATCAGTTCTCTATAATTCCAGAATAATTTAGTTAGTTAGTTAGTTACCAAATTTATATAGCCGCCCATCTCACAAAAAGTGACTCTGGGCAGCTTACATGCACAATAACAATCAAAACCATATCACAATATAAAAAACATCAGACATAAACAACAACAAAAATAAAAAATAAAAACATAAAGTAATAAAAACATAAAAGAACCCCAAGCTAGCAAGAGGACAACCATTGTTTAGCCTCACTCAACCACTTTACAGCCTTGCCATGGGATCCCCTGGGTTGATGGAAGAACCACGTTTTCAAGGCTTTCTGGAAGGCTAACAGAGATGGGCCTAACCTCATCTCAGAGGGAATGATGTTCCAGAGGGCAGGGTCTACAGCAGAAAAGGCACGTATCCTGGGTCCCACCAGATGGAACTCCTAAGCAGACGGGATAAGGAGCATGCCTCTTCTGCTGGACCTGATGGGACAGGTAGATGTAACTGGGAACAGTCCCATGCCATATAGGGCTTTAAAGGTCAGAACCAGCACCTTGAATTGCACCCAGAAGCAAATTGGCAACCAATACAGCTCATAGAGCAGAGGTGTAACACGAGGCACACATAACTGTCTGCTCAGCAGCCTTCTGCACCAGCTGAAGCTTCCGGATGCTCTTCAAGGGCAACCCCATGTAAAGCACATTACAGAAATCTGTTCTGAAGATGACTAGGGCATGAGTGACAGTGAATAGAGCCTCATGGTCCAGGAAGGGGCATAGCTGACACACAATACAAAGCTGTGCAAAGGCCCTCCTGGCCACAATTGCCACCTGCTCATCGAGCAAGGAGTCAAGAGTCTATAAGGACCCCTAGGTTGCACACTGGGTCTGTTTGCAGTAGTGTGACCCCATCCAGTACCAAAGATGGTAAGCTCCCATATGCAGAAGGCCCAAAAACCCAGAGCCACTCTATCTTGCCAGGGTTCGGCTGAAGCC